CTATAGTCAACGCGATAGCGACATCTTTACAGATTGAGAATTTCTCAAATTTTTTTGTTTCATATCACTACAAGGGCTGGAATCATGTCAACCAGAGTGCACCGTTTTTTTTGTAGCCCCCACTTCACCGCCCTGTAATTTGTCAAATTTATCATCTTTTTTTTTTTTAATTTTTTTTTATATTCTTGAACTGTCAATAAACATCATATAAAAAAACGGATTACAAAAATGTTTTTCATTTTTTTTTTATGTTAGTTTGAAAAATGCCTAAAATTTAGGCTTCTAGACCAGAATACCCTCTTAATTAGAAGTAAAAATTGATACGTAACGAGTACAAAAATGGATCTCCATTTTGAGGGGAATTATTGTGAGAATCAAGAACTCTTCTTGGGTTGATATTTTTTTTGTTTTTTTGTGAATAAACTAAAATGTGAAAGTTGATTTAATAAATCAACTTGTTAAATAATTAATACCTTAACATATATAAAACTTAGGAAAAAGCAACAAAATGGCAAGAAAATCGAGAAATAGATGGACTCACAACTAATGGGATATTGATCATGCATCCACGAGGTCCATTTTGTGGAGGTGAAGCTCAGTGTGGTTCATGGAGAGAAATAAGCGTTGGTGGTGGAGTATTTTCACTACGAGAAAGTAGAAGTGCTCAACAAAAGGGAAACGTTGTTGATGATGAAGACAACATCTTAAAAGATGGTACTCTTATTGATCTTTGTGGTGCTACTTTGCTGTGGAGATCAGCAGAAGGCCTTGCTAAATCACCGGTTAGTCATTTAATTTTATTTTTCAGTATTTATACTTAATAAATTTACATTTACACAAATTAAGCTTATAATTTCAATCAAAAGAACTTCAGTCATCACCCAACTGTTTGGTTATATTTATGATGAACTTTGTCTAATAATAAGAATTCATCAGTGAAATATTTTATTTTTTAATACTCATTTGGTATAAGTAGTATCTTAGCACACGTTCATAAGTTCCGTAATTAGTTTATTACTCATTTTATAATCCTAGCGTGTTTTGTGTAAATCAAATAGTTATTTGGGTGCGATAAGTTGAATTAGCGAACCCAAATTTATTTTGTCGATCGCAACTGACGATCAAGACTGCTAAAATTGAAAAAAGAATCGAAACTAAGTAACAAAACGAATTTATTGCTATCATTTACAACGTTCTTACCATATAATTAGAACTTCGCCCTTCGAATCCAACTTAGTATTGGAATTTCTCTAGGCATTTGTAATAAAAAATAGTATTTGCCACTCGGGCGGTGTTGTTAATTGCCCACGAGAGCGAAATTGAGCGTACTATAGTTGCATAATATGCTGTAGTAGATATGAAATATGTAATGTTATAACTATAACAATTTTCCATTACTATCCTAACATTAATGTTCTACACTTGCTAAAATTACCGACGTATATTGATATATTGATATATATCTATATATATATATTTATATAACATTACAGACTAAACATGATCTAGAAGAATTAGTAGATGCTATTAATGCAGGTAGACCTCAATGTCCGGTTGGTTTAAATACTCTTGTAATACCAAGGAAAGCAGCATCAGAATCAGCACAGCAGCAACCTTATGTTTATCTAAAATGTGGTCATGTCCAAGGTTATCATGATTGGGGCCAAGAAAAAGATAAAGCTACGAGAAGATGTCCAATGTGTTTAGTTGTTGGGCCGATCGTTAAGTTATGCATGGGTATTGAGCCTGCGTTTTATGTTGACAGAGGTCCCCCGACTTATGCATTTAACCCCTGTGGACACATGGCTACTGAAAAAACCGTAAAGTACGTATTAAGGAAAAACTATAATAAAAAACTTTTTTGCTTTTATTTATTCAAATTTCTTTAATGTTATTGTGCTTTTTTTAGGTATTGGGAAAAAGTAGCTATCCCTCATGGTACAAATGGATATATTGCTATATGTCCATTTTGTGCAATACCATTAGAAGGAGCTCCTGGCTATGTAAAATTGATATTCCAAGACAATGTTGACTAAAAACAAACTTAATAGCTTCTGAAAAATATGTATTAACAACAAAAGTTTGAATCATTGTAACTTTTTATACAATATAATGTATGACTAAATAGAATATGAAAAAAACGTTTGCATCTTTTTTATTATACAAGATAGTTTGTTGAGAGATAGATCTTTATTTCCTTAAGGGGTTAGGTGGGTTTCAGAGGTTCAAAAAAAGAGTATTTTTACTATTTTTTTTTTTTAGTATATACAATCATATATTTATTTAAACAATTCAGCATATCAAAGATACATATTTAAACAGTATTTTGTGAAATTTTTATTTAAAAATTACGAAAACTCAACCGATGGTACCTCATCTCCCTTGACGTCTTAAAAAAAAATGCTCTTGCCGTGGACATCATAACTCATTATTGGTTCATCTAAAATCAAAGAACCAAACATATTTCGTTAGTACATGGATAAATCTCGTTATTGGACGAAGGAGAAAAAAAAAATTAAAATTTGAAGTTTTGACAGGCTTTGAAAAAAAAAAAAAAACATTTTTTGGTTAAATTTTCACCATGTATTTGCTCGAAAAAATTAGTTGTAATAAAAAAAAATCCTTCGTCCAATAATGAGATTTATCCATGTACTAACGAAATATGTTTAGTTCTTTGATTTTAGATGAACCAATAATGAGTTATGATGGTCCACGGCAAGAGCATTTTTTTTTGAGATGTCAAGGGAGATGAGGTACTCAACGGCTGAGTTTTCAGAATTTTTAAATAAAAATTTCACAAAATACTGTTTAAATATGTATCTTTGATATGCTGAATTGTTTAAATAAATATATGATTGTATATACTAAAAAAAAAAAAAATAGTAAAAATACCCTTTTTTTGAACCTCTGAAACCCACCTAACCCCTTAAGATCAAAATCATCAAAAATTGAATTTTTTTTTCTCGTGGTTCTCATAAAAAGTAAAGAAGAAATGAAAACCTAACTTTCTATGATTTTGAAAATTAATTAAATTTAAATGACTTCTAAGAATTTTTTTATCAAATTAACTTTTGAATAGTGCTTCTAAAACATTTAAGACTGAGGTATTAGTAACAATTAGTTCAGGTAAATTAAATAAAGACCTCGAGAAATGTTACAAATATACAAATTATTCGAAGAAATTAAAAAAAAAGATGATTAATTGGAATGAAAGAGCGGATTTTACGGCAACCTACCCCCAATATGGATTGCAGGGGTGGATGTTAATACTAGGACTTTTTGAGATATGAAATTTAGGACATGTCTATTGAGATTCAATAACATTTACTAAAAATTTCCTTACAACAATCGTTTCTTTGGCAGCTGGGAAAAAGTCATTGGAAGGTTTTCAAAACTTAACATTAGATGTAGTTATTCAATCAACGGACTAAAAATTTTACATACATGTTATTTTTGCTGATCACATAACCGATAAATTGTTCTTATCGCGGAATCACGTGAATGTAACAGATTAAAATGAAAGAATTTTCCATACACTTGATAAGTGAAAAATAAATTTGGTTACTTATTTAAATAGAATTCGTAAAAAACATATTAAATTTATTTTCTATAAGTTGATGTCACTGAGAAAATTTTAACTAACAGAAAAATTCGTCGCACTTGAAGCTAGACAGACTTCAACTTCACTAATTAGACTTGAAATGATTTTAACGAAAACTTGAAATCCTCATTTGATATATGTGCAAATTAAAACAATACTCCAATTAAATTTCAAGTCTAGATCTAAAAATGCAATTCTATAAAGTGCCCAGCGAGGTGGGCGGGTTACAGCTAGTTGTAATATAATTACTGTAACGGTATAAAAAAAATTAGGAAAACGGTTGACCCTGAAGGTCAACCCTGCAACTTCCCGCTAATTCCATACTTTGACGCTTAAAATTGCACCAATGACGTTTTTGAGGTCTTTGAGCTCAAAAATACAAGTAATGAGTTATTTTGAGCTCTCCGAGCTCAAAGAGATTGCTTTCCTATGCTTTTGAGCTTTTCGAGCTCAAAAGTCTGTTGGAGATTTGATAAGACACTATTTTTTGAATTTTTAAACCGCAATAACTTGACTGAATAAACCGATTTTCACGCGGTTAGCAGCATTCGACGCAGTTTTTCAAGCCTCACAAAGAATCTCACATTTTGAATTGCTCGCGCTAGGAATTTCGGAGTTATTCCGAAAAAACACTTTTTTCGGTTTTCTTTCGTTCACGATATCTCTCGAACGAATTAACCGATTTTGACCGGACTGGTGGCGATCGACGTGGTTTTTTGAGGTTAAGAGCTGATTAGTTTTTGGAGTTGAACCATCAAGCCATTTAAAAGTTATTCCAAAAAAACCACATTTGAAAAAAATTTTTTTTTTCAGTTTTTTGAAGATTTCTCAAAATCCATTGATCTGAATCGGTCCAAATAGTTTTCAAAATCTAAGTTTGGTCAAGTCCTTTCGAATGGCACCAACCGCGATGAAATCGGTCAAGCCGTTCGAAAGTTATAAGCGGTTCACATACTTTCACACACACACACACACACACACACACACACACACACACACACACACACACACACACACACACACACACACACACACACACACACACACACACACACACACACG